CAAACTCAGCTGGAACTCTCACTCTGCCACAGTCCAATGGCCTCCCAGGAAATTAGAGCTCACAATTCATTGGCCTGGTGTTCATGCACATGCACTCTAAGCAGCAGATGCTCCTGAGACTGGTGGATGTAGGAACAGAACCAGTAGCCTCTTTAGGTCCTTGTTATGGTTTGTGTCTAGTTGTCCCCCCAAGCCTCATGCAGCCATGGGACAGACTTCTAGAGTTTGTGATTAACTCATGATCCCCTGGGATTATATGGTAAGAGTGCTTCTGGGATTATGGGTGTAAATGCTGCTGGGATTATGGGTCTGAGTCCTGCACCCGGCCTGGGGCAGGTAGTCTGAATGCAACGTAAGAGAGACAGACTTGTTCTCTGTTGCCATTATTGCTGCTGCTCCTGCCCATTTGCTCTTGCTCTTCGCTGCCATGAATTGCTGCCCTCTACCATGTGCCAGTCTTCCTTGGAACCAGCTGAGTATGGACTGAAACCTCCAATAACTGTGAGCTAAATACACCTTTCCTTTCTTCATTTTGGGTGTCAGGTATTAGGCCCAGTAATGAGAGAAGAGTAACTGAGACAGTCCTCTTCAGGCTTCCAGTCAAGAACCACTGGACTAGAGGGTTAGGGGCAGCACAAGAGGGAGGTCCTGAAGTTCGGGTGCTCTGAGGGGGCCACCTCACTCTACCTTGCAGGGAGTTGGAAATTTCTAGAGGGTGAAGGAGGGCAATGACTACTTTTTAAATCTGGGTGTTAGGAGTTCATTTTAGTACTTGAATTTTAAGGAAAACAGCAATACATTTCATAATGAAAAACTTCAAAAAGGAAAGAAGGGATATGAATGTAAAGGGAAAAACCCTCTTAAGTGTGATGGAGAAGATAATAATTTTGCCCTGGAATGATGAGGTCACAGGATTGTCACAGGGGACTTGTCAGATCGTGGTGCTGTTCTGTGGGCAGCTTTTGCAATGAGGTGCAGTCATACCTCCCATCACACACCAAGAAAAAATTTAAATATCAAAAAGGCAACCAAAATACAAGAAAACATGAGAGAATTGTTTTATTACCTTAGAAGGGGGACTTTTGAGTTGGGACTCAAAATCCAAAATGTACAAAAATGACTAGCATATTTGACTACAAAAAATTAAAATCTATATAGAGAAAATATCATTGACAAGTTCAAAAGACAAACATGGAAAAGCTGGGGAAAGCATTTGTAATCACACCAGAATGAAAACGTCACCTTTGTATAAGTAAATTAATCAGAAAAAGACAAATTTATCAATAGAAAACATGATGATTGTTGTAAAAAAAGAAATTATGGTAACTAATGCATGAAAATGTATTCAAAATTTACTAATAATAAAAGTGCAAGTCAAAGCACCTATCAACACAGTTGTTCACCTCAACAATATCTGGGGAAGTAGCTTACACGTTGTTGTCAATGGGAACAGTCAATGCCTAATTATTTCATCAGTTTTACATGTCTCTATCTGATAATGTGACTACTTTGAAAACAGTATGCAATATAACAACCATTATTAATTTCCTATCATCTTATTTTGAAATTCTGTATCATTTTTAGTCTTCTTTTTAGAATAAAAAAAAAGATTTAGGGGAATGGGCTCTCATATATTGATGTAGTAAATATGAGGTCCCTTTGGAGGGAATTGGTCAATATCTGTCAAAATGATAATTACATGTAGTCTTTGATCCCTTTTTCAGGATATTTTATTTCACTCTGCATGAAACATGCCTGCAAAGATATTCATTGCAACATTGTTCACAATAGCAAAAGACAGGAAATAATCTAAATGTCCATCAATAGGGAGCTGACTAATATAGCACAGTACATTTACACAGTGGAAGGTATGGACTGATGCAGAAAGATCTAGAATATGCTGGTCTAGCGAGAGAGCAATGTGGTTACTGTGCAGGGAGAGAGCTAGGCAGGCGAGGAACAATATGGAAGACAACACTGTTCATCCTTTTACAAATTTTTTTTTAAATTTTGGAATCATGTGAATACATCATCTAGTCAAAATTCAATTATTTATTTAAGTAACCAGGAGCCTTTTACTATGTGTGGTTTCCTTAATGTTAATGCTACCAAAACTAAATCTGTAAGATCAAGCTCTGATGTGTTCGTACCCCTAAGAGTTACTGTAAGTTATTACTTAAAGAAAGACTCAAACCCTGCTATGGTGTGTGTCTAGTTGTCCCCCCAAATCCCCATGCTGTCATGGGGTGGACTTCCAGAGTTTGTGATTAACTCATGATCCCCTGGGATTGTGGGTGCGAACGCTGCACCCACCTGGGGCGGACAGCCTAAATGCAACATAAGGGAGAAAGACTTGCTCTCTGCTGCCATTGCTGCCAGTGCTCCTCCCTTTTGCTCTTGTTGCTTTGCTGTTTTCCACCATCAACTGCTGCCCTCTGCCATGTGCCAGTCTTCCTTGGAGCCAGCTGAGTATGGACTGAAACCTCCAGTAACTGTGAGCTAAATAAGCCTTTCCTTCCTGCATTTTGGGTGTCGGGTATTTGTCCCAGCAATGACAGAAGAGTAACTGAGACAAACTCCGTTAGTTTTGGTTTCTGTGGGAGATGCTTTATGTTGTAAAGTACCTCCCGCATGAAAGATGGACTGTAGAGTGAGACACCATCTGCCCAAGAGCTCCAAGATGGATGTCATAACTATTGTTCCAGAAATAATTTGTAAAATCTATAGTCTGGAGTGGTTTCTACTTCTCTAATCCTTTTGGAAGGATATTACATAAGTGAAAAGGAAAAAACCTAATAAGAATCCATTTTGAGCTCTGCATGATCAATTGGATGAAGAGGGAGGCAGCCAGCCTTCCACTACTGTTGGCCCACCACATTGTCATTCTTATTATATTGATGGTCTGTCTAAAGCAACAATATAGATATGGATTAAAATGCCAAGTAGAAACAAATGAAAACCCTATACCCGGGTCTAAGGTGGAAAGTCAACAAAAGTCTGTCTTTTCTGGTATTTATGTGATTTAAGTACATACACACTTTGTGACCCAGCAATTCCAGTTGTTGGTTTACACCAAGAAGAATACACTCATTTACACAGCAAAACACATGTGTAAGAATGTCCACAGAAGCACGGCTCGTAATACCCCAAAACACGACATTACCCAAGTGTTCATCAAGATCAGAAGAGACAGATAAATTTGTGGGATATTCCAACCATGACATTCTCTACTGCGATGGGGATGACAGAACTGGAATGACATGCAATAATCTCACACACAGACTGTTGAGCCTAAGAAGACAAACAAAAGAAGAGAACACATGGTATTTTATTTATATGTTGAAATAACAACCAAAAAAAAAAAAATCACTGGTTTTGGGAAGTAAGGATGGTCGGTAGAAGAGGGTATGGAGGGTGGTGCTGGGTGACTATTTCCTACCAAGCCATCAAGCCACAAGCCTTCATGTTTGTAGTATTTGAGATTTTGTTATGCTTTAATTTAAGAGTTAAAAAACTATTCCAGGGCAGAATGAGCAATGTATGAATTTGTTTTGGATAAGTCATGAGCTTAACCTCCAAATATGTGCTTGTCTAGGCACTGTTGAGATACAAAAGAGGCTCCAACAGAAGCTGAAAGGATCAGATGCTCTCAGCCAAAGCTCCTGAGGGATTCCGCAGAGCCCAGCGGGGAAAGTCCAGGAGGGCCCCTTGCTCCCCAGCCAGACAAAGCAAGCAGCACAGCCTTAGCAACTGGCCTGCGGAACAGCCAGCATAGAAGAGGTTAAGTACTGAGTTTAAGAGCACACTTGAGCCGGGGAGATGACTCAGTAGAATAAGCGCTTCCCTGGCAAGCACAAGGGCCTGAGTTCAATCCCCAGTTCCGCAAAAAAAAAAAGAGCACACTTGCTGGCAGGTGTCAGGGTCAGGTATCCCTAACAACTGAAATTTCCATGGAAGTTAATTTTCTGGACAGTCAAAATTTCCGTCTTTAAACAACTGCTCCACTAAAAGTGAAATCATTTGAATGGAATCTTTTCTAAATTATATTTCACAAATTCCTGATTTTTTCAGATCCATGGAATAGAATTTCACCTGTCCAACAAACAGCAATGCTAACAATTAGATCATCGCTGTGCCAAGGCACTTCCCCAAGTACTTTCCATCAAATTTTCTCTTTCAGCTCTTACAAAGTACATATGAAATTTGTCCTTTTCTTCCTGTTTTATGTATGAGGGTTAGGATGGTTCACTATCCCAGGTCACACAGCAAATATAGTGAGGTAGAGAAGACACACATTCTCTAAATCCTCAACTCAGGACCTCTGCGTTGTGTATTCTCTATGGATTTAGTGGTGATCAATGGACTGCAGCTTCCCCCCACAGAGTCAGCGGATGGGTAAGAACACTAGCAGCACCATTAGGGAGGTGGCTTGAGTTCCTATTGCTTCCTTTTCTTTATTTTCTTCCTCCTCTACTGTTTCCCCCTCTTCAGTTCTGAAGATTGATCACAGGGTTTCACACCAAGTGCTAGGCGAGTGGTCTCTCTATTAGCTGAACACACCCTCCTTCATCAATATTACACTTTCTGTTTTCCATAAAACTATTTTCAGTGTGCTACACTCACGCCCTCTTAAAAAAAAAACTCCACTAAAATCCTTATTTTTAAATATGCTTGTTTCCATTTCTTTAAATTCTCACATTTTACGTCTTTCTATTTTGCTAAACTATCCTGCAGCTTTAGGCCAACTTTTTTTTATCAGTTTAAGAAACCCCTCTGGTTCTCTGCATTTCCAAGTGTCGTGGCTTTGCTTTTTCTCAACACAACTCAGTGGTGCTCATCAGATTAACAGAAACAGCCCTCCACTGGGGTCCATCTGGCTTGCAGCCATGCTCTGGAAAAATACAACAGCAACAAAGATAAGCACCAAGCCATGCAGAGTCAATTCTGGCAAGGGCTGTCAGCTAGCAGCACTGCTGAGCAAAAGGAACAACTGTCCTTACCCTGTTTTCAAGCTGACCAGTGCATCCTCCACTCCCTTCTGATTAAATTTGGTCATGTACTGATGCATATAGGGGTAGTTATTCCGAATGTTCCTCTCTGTGCTTCCATTAGGTACTGTCCCAAAGCGAAAAGGCGGGGAATAGTCATGAGGTCTCTGAAACTGAAGAGAGAGAAAGAAGGCAAGAGGAGAAGGAGGAGGGGACAAGAGGGGGGAAAGAGGAAGAAGCAATTAGCTATGATTTTATTACCTGTCAGAAGTTCAACATGAATTCATTCATGCAGGACAATTTAAAAAATCCAAAACATTTATTTATGTGCTTTCTTTGTACTTAATCACATCATCCATTGGTCCGTGAGCACCAGTAGATAGGGAACAGGGCATGCATTTTTGTCAGTGTCCCTTAGTTCCTAGCTCAGGATCTAGTTGTGGGCTCAGTAGATATTTGTTGGGGTAAATTTTCATGTTGTCAGATGAGCACACAATCCTTCTAAGGAAATGTTAAGCAGGAATTAATGTATGTCTTTACCCAGTATTCATCTGTTTTATGAAAACGTTTCCTGTGAGCCCCACCAGCCACCACTTTCTCTGGACACCATCACATTTGCACCCACCATAAAATGATGCCATGTCACCACACTGACCCTCCACTCGTTGGTTTGTACTTTCCTTCCCACAGCCAATACTCAATGAGTGTCTTGCATACTCCAGGCATAATGTCCAACCCGGAAGGCTTGTGACTATTTGCAAAGCTGAGGTCCCTGCTGACTCTTAGCTTCCTGGGATGTCCAGATCTTGGCCTGCTATTGAGCTTTCACAAAGTATATTGTCCCTGCATGGTGTGTCTCCCATGACTAATGGATATGGTCTGTAGTATCCCTCAGGAAAACTGGGGAGTTCAGCACCATGGCCCTAAAACAAGGCTCCTGCCTTGTCAAGGGAACATTGTAAGGACATCATCAAGAAGATCTCCCAAGAGAACATGGTGACTTTACCTGATCCCATCTGTGGGGTAGCTTGTAGGTTCACTAAGTTATGCCCCAGAAAAAAATTATAGGACACATCAGCAAGAGGCATTAGAAAGAGTTAGTAGGCAAAAACAATGCATACGCTCGGAGAAAATAAAGATCAGGCACTCAAGATAGAGGGGCAGGGGGTTTTACGTGGGCCTGAGGGCACCCTCAAGATGGGCTAGGTGTATTCCCACAGTGTGTCAGGGCACCTATTGGGTGCTAGGCTGGAATACAATCTATTTATATGTTTTTGGAATTTAGAGCTGTGCTATCCACGTAATACCAGTGCTGCTTCCTGAAGGATGGAAGTCTGTGAGAAGAACCTTTTATAGGTGAAAAGTATGGGTTCCTGTTTACAGGCTTGTTGGCTCTTTCAACCCCTAGGAATTTTTTTAATGAGTTTCCTAGGAGGGAAAAAAAGCCATTGTAAAATTGAGTAGCTTTTACGGCCTGAAACTTGCAACTTTTCTTAAAAATAGAATTTCAAATGACAACTTCTGCTGTCTGCCTACCTTTACTGTCTTTGTTTCTTCTGTCCTACCTCAAGTGGATGGAAACCAGACCATTGCAATAAGTATTATCTGGGGGACACTGGGAACTCGGAAAATGAGTGTGGCCTCTAGAACCAGCCTCCTTGCTTGTGTGCTAAGTCAGCAGTTCTTTGGAACACAACAAAACCAGCTAACGTGTCACTATACATGAAGCCCAGTCTATAACACCCACCTCCTTACAATAACTAGATGTGGATCAGAACAGTATGGACTCTTACAGCCCAGCCAGGTGCAGCTATATGTTCTGAGTTCCCTCAGGCATTTTTCCTCCTTGGCATGCAGACCCCAAAACTTCTGATGCTTGGCTAGTCTAAGCCCCTGTCACTAGACATTCCAAGTACCTCCTCATGACTTCCTGTCTAGCTCACCACCACCAGACCCTTCCCTTTCTGCTAGCACATCTGAATAACCCTCTCTCTCACATGCTACCTCTCCAAAATGTACACCGCAGTCCTGGCACAGCTGGGCTGTGGATGAGACACTGTTCATCCTGAACTTTGATCTTTCAGGAACTCAACCTGCTTAGAAGTCAAGAGAACTGATTCTGAGTCCCAGAAATACAGCTGGAACCTAAAGACACTGCTGGAGGGGTTGAGTGTGCATTCAGACTTGAATGCACTGCTGGTTGGGAAGTCAAGACTATCGCTTACAAACTATGCAACCTTAAGCAAGTCACTTCACTTCCTGCTGCCACTGTTCTCCACCTGTAGAGTAGTGCTCTTGAAATACTTCCCTTATAAAGTCACTGTGAAGAAAAACAACACTTTTTGAAGTAACTGGAATAATTCCTGAAACTGAATTAAAAATTCAAAAACCGAGATTTTGCCATTTTTTTGTTTTTATGATTGTTGCAGAAAAAAGGAACAAGCTTTGTTTTTCTGTGAGATATTGAATTCTGAGACTAGAAATTAGTGATCATGATGATTAGAACTTTTTGAAAACTTAGTTGGTGCAAACATCGTGGCACATGGTTACTCTTCGTGACAGCCTGCTGGGCGGCTAATCTTAGTGGCTCCATTTTAAAGACAAAGAAACTGAGGCACAGGGAAGTTGCATGACTATATTAACAAATAGTGTCTGAAATTCAAATCTAGATACTCTTGACCACAGGCTAAGATCTAAACACTATTGTTCATCAGAAATCATTGCTAGTATCTCCTTTCTTACATAGAGATGGGGACCTGCAGAGCCAGACAGGAAGAGGATACCCAGCATGTTGGTGCTAGAACCCAGACTATGATGCAGGGGTCTGCCCAGCATCCAGTGCAGCACACCTTCCACAGAACCAAGGACAGTTAGAGAAGGTGTCTGGGTGTGCCCAAGAGTCAGACCAACGAGAAACATTACTCTTTTCTCTCCACATGCACTTTGTTTCACTGTTAATTACAATTTCCAGTTGAAAACTCTTTCCCTTGCATTAGTTAAGCTGCTGCCCAGTGAGCAGCTATAACTGGATTTGGAAGAAGTAGCCATCCATTGTCCAGATGGATTCTCCCTCCAGAACATGCTTTGCAGTGTGTGTGTGTGTGTGTGTGTGTGTGTGTGTGTGTGTGTGTGTGTAGCAAAATGCTTTTCACAGCCACTCAGCCCTGCAACATCCTCACTCATCACCCAACCTGAAAGCACAACTGCAGCTCATCTTCAGGCAGCTGCCTGCTCTTGGGAACAGTGGTAATAGCACTGTCCATAAATCTCATGTTTTAGGAGCCACTGTTGATCTCCAGAGACACCCAGAGATGGCCTATTTGACTAAACGCCTCTCACTTGAGTCCCCATCTGTTGCTGAGGAATGATACAGCTCTTTTAAGATTTGCTTCCTTCTTTCCTCTGATTTGCACAGGGGTTGGGACAGACAGTCTCCGGCACATTCCCACTCTTCTCTGGCATTGACATATCATCCTTACACAATACTCAGTCCAGAGCCATATCCAGAACCTATCTCACTGGAACTAAGACTGCCAAACTTTTGAAGGCATCGCGCACAACGCACTTCTCATCACCACCCGGTACACAGCACACACACACACGCACACACACACACACACACACACACACACACACACACCTCGTAGGACTCATCTTTCTATGCCTAAGGTACTCTGGAGTTACTCATTATGTTTTATTTTATTTTCATGATCACTGCCTCAAGTTAATGTCATGAAAAGCCATGGCCTACAGTGTGAAAAGTCAGGAGCAAGGAGGGCCCATCTCTGATGTCCACGTTCCCCACTGAAGACGCTGCATGTTCTTTACAGGAACAACTTCCGGTGCAGCTTTCTCCAGAGCACTGCATGTGCAAGCAGAAGGAGCACACATGGTTTTAGCAGAGGAAGGGACAGTGCCCATGTCCCCACTGTCAGCAGGACCATGAAGTGATGCCCTCACAGGGCTCAGAGTCCACCGATCTCATGGCTTCTCTCAAGGATGCCCTAGCTGGATCTTGGGCTTAGGGAAGTCCCAGGTAGCTCTCTGTGCCTCAGTTTCTATATCTGAAAACTTGGATTCACTTTTGCAATTGTATAGTACTTGAAAAAAAAAACTGGTGTACTCTGTTCTTCATATGTTCCTTATCCTGTTACATACTAAATTTTTAAGCTATTTGTTTGTTTCCTTGTTTGTTTGTTTACTTAGTACAGGGCCTCACTACACAGCTTGGACTCATAGTGATCCTCCTGCCACAGCTGCCCCAGCTCTGGAATTACAGGCGTGTACCACCATGTCTAGTTTCAGGTCCAGTACTGCATGTGGTACTGGGGACCCAACCTGGGTTCTTGCGCTTGCCAAGCAGGTGCTTAAACCACCAAGCTCTCTCTCTAGCCCACATCTTATATTTTAATTACATGCATGTTCCTCTTTAGAACCTGTCACCCCCAGAGTGGCTGTAGCCAAATAACAGAACCAGTTACCCTCCAGTTTGGAGAACACAGTACAACTTTCTGAATTTTTTTCCCCTTTCAGTGTGCAGACAGGTGTGAAGGTCATCCAAGAGAACAAAACATGGCAAAAATTTATAA